TCTTTTTTGTTTTCCTGGATGCTCTTAATATTCTCTCTGTACCTTGGTTTTCAGTGAATTGACTGTCATATGCCTAGGTGTAGTGTTCTTTTTATTTATCATGCTTAGGATTTATGGAGCTTCTTGATTTGGAGGATTACTATCTTTCATCAGATTTACAGAATTCTCAGCCATTATTTCTTCAGCTATTGCTTGTATCTCATTCTTCCTTTTTTTCTCTCTCTCTAGGACTCCAATTACATGTGTGTTAGACCATGTTCTACATTTCTCATGCTCTGTTTTGGTTTTTCCATTCTTTTTTTTTTCCTCTGTGATTCATTCTAGATATTTTCTAATGGTATATCTTCGAATCTTAATCCTGTCTTCTGATCTTTCCATCTGCTGTTAAACACATCAAATGAGTTCTTAATTTCAGGTATTATATTTTATAATTTTAAAGGGTTTTTTGATAATTTTCATAGGTTCTTTTTCTCTGTTAAAATACACAAGTAGATAAAAATCTGATAAATATTTTGTATTTTTATCTATTTTTGTCCATAATTTCCTCTACTGGTTTTAGCACAATAATCCTAGAAATTTTGAAGTCCTTGTCTACTTAATCCAATATCTGAGTCATCTGTTGGTCTACTTTCATCAACGTTTATCTCTTTATTATTGGTAGTTTTTTCAGGCTTCTTGTCTATCTAGTAATTTTTATTGTATATGTTATAAACTGAATGTTGTGCCCCTGCAAAAATCATATGTTGAAGCCTTAACTCCAAGGTGACTGTATTTGGAGATAGGGCCTTTACAGAAGTCATTAAGGTTAAATGAGGTCATAAGGGTGGGGCCCTGACCTCATAGGATTAGTGTCTTTGTACGAAGAGATACTAAAGAGCTCTTATCATCTCTCTGCAGGTGCAAAGAAGAGGTCATATGAATGAAATGACAGCCACCTACAAGCCAAGAGGAGAGCCCTCAGAATGAAACCTGCTTTGCCAGAACCCTGATCTTGGAATTCCCAGCTTTCAGAACTGTGAGAAATAAATTTCTGTTGTTTAAGTTACCCAGGCTGTGGTATTTCGTTATGGCAGCCCAAGCAGACTAATACAGTATGCTTGACATTATAGATGATAGTTATAGAGGCTCTGGATTATGTTATCTTTCTCAACATTGTTGAGTTTTATTTTGGCAGGCCGTTAATTTCCTGGTGGATTAGCCTGGCCCTGTCGAGGCCTCATTTTAGTCTCTGTTCAGGGGAGGAAGTGGATTTCAGATTTGCCGTTACTCCTTGATCATTGCCCTGTCTCCTAAAGCCTGGTCCTCACTCCTAGAATATGGCCTTTTGGAGGTCTCAGTCAAACGCCCAGGATGTCCACACAGTTCTTTGAACTCTGGCTGGGCTCAACTCCAGTGTCTCTCCGAGGATTCTGAGACTTCGAGGACTCTAGCTTGCAGACCCCGGGCAGCTGTTCTTTTACTAGGTCTCCCAGAGATGCACCAGAAAATATGCAGCCCAGGAAATGGCCAAGGTTCCAGGAGCATTTCTATGTAAATATCTGGAGTTTTCACTCTGTGGCTATCCTCTCATTTTAACTTCTGAACCCAGCTGCATTAGTAGCTCTGAACTCTCATCTCTTATTATTGTCTGGGCTCCACTTTCATGGACCAAGACCTTTAAAATGCCCCCAAGGAGAAAATTTGGGTGAATGTGGGGCTAAACCCAGTGCATTTCCTCTGTCGGGGATTGCTGCCCTGCCTTGGGTGTCTTGCAGGGCTTCCAAACAGCTATTTTGTATATTTGGCATATTTTGGCCAGCTTTTAGAGTTGTTCCTAGCCAGAGGGAAAGTCCAATCATGGCCAAAATCAGACTGCCTTTGCCTAATATCTAATTAAATAAACAATAAGAATAATAAAATATCCCCCCAGCTCCAAGTCAAAAAGTAATCATTAGCAGCCACACATCGAGAAATGGGGTATGATATCTTGCCAGTAAGAAGTCAAATGATATTGACTAAAATAAATATATGGTTAAATATAAATATATAAATAGCCATATAAATATAAATATATGGTTAAACATAATGAATTCAAATCTGAGTTTACGTAATAAATTTAACTTTAGAGAGACTATTGGATAAAATACCTTGTGAAGTGAGCAAACATCTAAAGTTTAGCCATCTTTTACAGTTCACTTTAATTTATTTATCTTCTGCTTGACTATTTTTTAATTAAAAATAGCATTTACTTATTTATTAAAAATGGTATGATAGCTTGCAGCCCAGCCCGGTGGTGCAGTGGTTAAGGTCGCAAGTTTCGCTTCGGCTTCCCAGGCTCGGATCTCGGGTGCAGACCTAGGCACTGCTTGTCAAGCCCTACTGTGGCAGGTGTCCCATATATAAAGTAGAGGAAGATGGGCACAGATGTTAGCTCAGGGCCAGTCTTCCTCAGCCAAAAGAGGAGGATTGGTGGCAAATGTTAGCTAAATCTTCCTCAAAAAATAATAAATAGATAAAAATAATATGATAGCACTTAGCATAATTATACACCATTTAACATACCTATTGATTCATCTATGTTCTACAACGTCTGGAATGATGGTTTTATTATAATAACAATGGTTATTTCCGGATAGCGTGATTTTGGGGTGATTTTCTACTTCTTTGTATTTTTTCTACTACTTGAATTATTTACAGTGAACACTATTAGCAACTACAGACACACACACACACAAAATTCCAGTTTTTAATGTGTTTGGGGTTATACTGATTCTTCATCTACTAGTTTTGTGTTAGAAGTTTTGGCTTAAGCCTGAAACCAGGCTAAGAGACTGGAGTATGACAGGATCTCTTTCCAGGAAAATTGATGCCCAGCAGGTAACTCGCGTGTCACTGTAAGTGCAAAGTGTCCTCTGTCCTTCCTACTGACCCATGAAGCAGGTGGCATAGGGCAGACTGGCTCCTTTTTGCTGCTCTTGGGACAAAGGAAACACTCCCATTGAATATAGGATGTATCCAGAAGCCCTAGCACAATGGGGGTGAGGCTCTGATATAGCTACTGCATCTCTCTCGGTATATAGCACGTCAAGAACTGCAGGTGTGCATGCAAATGCTTCCCTAGTTGAGAGAGGGGTGCCGGCCTAAATGGGCTAAGTAGGAAAACGGAGAGAAACAGATTCTGTAGACAAGATCCCAAATAACTGCCACAAAAGGGGACTGGCTTGGAAGTGGGCATTTCAACTTAGGTCTATGTAAATAGGATATATATATACACACACATATATACACACACACACATATATATATATATATATATATATATATATATACATATTCATAGATATTTTTATTCAAACCATCCATGAACACAGGATTTGCTAGGGAAAGGAGGTAACATGGGAGATCTGAACATCTTAATGCCCTAAAATTCAATAAAACTGGATTTCTCTAAAACTCTATATAATCAACCTTGGCAAGTCTTTCCACATCCCAGGCTTCAAAGACTTCTTGCATGTTGAGACACTAAATCTCTTCCCCAGACCTCTTTCCTGAGCTTCAGACCCATATGTTCAACTTCCTACTGGCTATTCTATCCCAAATTCAGCACATAAAAAAAATACCCTATCACAATTTGTTCTTTCTCTTCATTCATTCAATGACTGCGTTTTTTAATACCCACCATGTGTCAGGAATGATGGTAGAGGCTGGAAATACAGAGATACATATGCTATATCCCTACATTCAGGAAGTTCAGATTTAATAGAGAAGATTGAGAAATAAAAATGAGTACAAGGCAAACACGATGATAGATCAGGGTGCCATCCGACATAGAACCGAATCATGTAATCCAGGTGTATGTCGGGGAAAGGAGATAGATTAGCGATGAGGAAAGTCATAGAGGATAAAACGTTTGACCTTTCCCAAAGACTTAGCACAGCGATTCCTGCACAGCTGGGCATTTCCTACCTCTGCCACACATCTAGCTACTGCATTTAGCCTGGCCCACGACTGAGGCTGCAGTGGCTCCCCAGGTCAGCACTGGCCCTGGAAACTGCCTCCCTGGTTACATCTCGTCCATCAGGGACACACTCACTGCAGACTGTCACTCAGCCCTAGCCCCTGTCTGCTCTATATTGCAATGGTTTTCTGAAGGTCACCTGGTATCTTGGTGAGAAGCCCCTGGTTTTGAAAGAAAAAAAAATAGTATAGGTATTTCCCACTCCTTTGATCAGAAGTGTCATAATCTTTGGGAAATCATTTAACCTCTCTGAAACTCAGTTCCTCATCTGTGAAAGGCTAATCATTATAATAAGAGTGCTTACCTCAAGGGAGGGTGTAAATATAAAACGAGATGAGAGACGAAAGCAGGTCTCACACAGCACCAATGTTAAGCATCTTTGTTAGGTTTTGAGGATGATGGAGCATGACTTCGATTCAAATATTTAAATGCTGATCTTGTAGGGAGAATGTGAGGCTTTTGGAACTCTCTCAAATATCTAACTATAAATTTCAATTGAACTTAATGTTTATGTCTCTCCTAGCATCTCTCAGCTTCCAGTCCGACCTGGGTTTCATTCCAACCATTTATTAGCTTTGGACAACTTATCTTCTCTTTCAGTTTTCTCTTGAGTATTATGGGGATAATTAAACACACCTCAAAAGGCATGTTGTGAGGATCATCTGAAGTAAGGAGTAAAAAGCACCATGTAGTGATGCTTTCACATGCAAGGTTTTAACCAAGGAAAGAGGTCTTTATGCGAGAACGTAGAGGCCGGGAACAGAGCAAGAGAAAAGGGAAGCCTGTCTCTCGGGTGCGACACCGAGAAGGCACATATTCCAGGCTCTTCTGGAGGAGAGGCAACATCGCTGGAGGAGCCGGGCCCGGGCCCCAGTAGGGGGCGCCGTAGCGCCGCACTGCAGCATCCTGGCGGCGGAGCGCAGCCGCCAGGGCCGGGCTGAGCTCGCGTCCTGCGGCAGTCCCTCGGCCGCTAGTCGGAGCGAGCGTGAGCGAGGACACCCCCGCCGGGCCGCCCCCACTTGCTGCGGGCACTGCAGCTCCCACCGCGACTGCAGCCCAGCGACTCGGAAACGCAGCGTGCTCCCTGGGCTGCGCAGCGTGGGAGGGTTTAGCGGTCCCGGGGGACTGGTTCCGAACTTGCAGGGGACCGCGGCTCTCCCGGGCCTGGAGAGTGTGAACAGGTGAGTGTCACGCACGTGCCCAGGTGGCTCTTTCAGGATGACTTCCTGCAGAGCCTTCCGAGCCCCTGAACGCTCGGCCTCTGGGTCAGTCCTCCTGGTCCCTGGGTCCTCCCAGGGCAGCTTTGGGGTTCGCTGAGAGGGAAGTATGAGCGCCCGCGCCCGGAGCTTGACAGCGTCCTCGGAGCTGAGACCGAGAATGCCCTTTTGACTTAGGCTGCATCTGCTCCCTAGGTGGAGGGCAAGTGACCTGCAGTCCACAATGGACTTGTTTGTTTACCATTCCAGGATACCTGTTGCTTTCAGAGCAACGTACAGCCGGAGGTCTTGTACAGTTACCCTCGTCACTGGGGATGCTACGTTGTGATAAGATGAGGAAGAATTCCTGGTAATGAGACAAGGAAAACTTGATTTCAGAGCTAGAGAAGGGGCGGCCCAAAAAGAATCTCATTCCCACGACCAGACTAGATTCTTCACTTCCTAAACAGCTGCACTTTATTTTGATGAGACCATAAATACAGAAGTTAGAAAAAATATTCCCTTATAAAGATGCTTGCTACCCCCACCCAAGAGAAAGATTGAAAGCATGGACCTTGATAAGTATAATAGTGTTGGGGATGATTTATTATGAACAAAAGCTTTCTTTAAATAAATTGAAAAAATCAGGTTATTAGTGATCTAAATGTCATAAGACTAACAGATTGTAAACTCGAAGGTAGCCGCTTTTTTGTTTGTATATGCTTAGCATAAGTGTAGAATGAATCCAGGAATGCATTAACAGTAACGCAGGATTTGGAAGGTGTGTTCTTTGTTTCTTCTTCTTTCTTAGCTTTATTTTAGTTCCTTTATGTTTAGAAAAAATAAAAATCACTGCACCGTCAATCTCTTAAATTTCTAGGTGTGATTTTAGCTTTAGGAGTAATAGGAACTCAGAAGTTTTTGTCCTGATAAAGCACTGTCTATACAAAAAGTGAATGTCAGCTTCTAGACCCAGGCAGAATATTTCTGCACAACAACATTAAAACAAATGTTTTCTTAGATCCATCTTATGGAATGTCTCACATTATGAATTATTTTGAACATCAGAAATTTGGCAACAGGTCACTTATTAAGACAATTTACATATTTTTCTTTCTTTGTCAAATGTAACTTTGCACATTTTCATGTGAGAAATAAAATGTTGAAGGATATGTGTCAGTTTTGTGTCTTCCTTTAAGTGATTTTTCTAAATATAACATGAGATTGACAATAACTCACTGTATCATTAGGTTGTAAATGAAAAAACTAACCCACACAATTTTTCTTTCTTGTGTGAAATTCCTATGCCTCTGAGGCCATTTGGGAATTACTGAAATATTTGACTTAAATGTTTTTTAAAAATCACATTTGATAACTACTTTCATGAAGCATAAATCAGATACTAAATTACTTGGATTTTATGAGCATGGGAATGGACAGTTTTACATGAAATAACAAATTATTGTTTATATAAGCTCTAGACACCTGCATGTTCTATGTTTCAAAGAAATTCTTGCCATTCTAATTTAGAATTTATATAGTTAATATATTTTCATATATTATGCTTCTATGATGAAGCACTGAACCTTAAACAGAGGCCTTTTCTTAATGAATGCATATAAAATGACAAGTAAGGAAATCCTTTTATCTTCAGCCAAATTATGGGACTGAACAAATTGCAGATGTTAAAGCTTCTGGTTTTTGTACTATTAATGATTACTAAGAAGTTTTTTCATTATTGGAGATGAAGTAAACAATAGCTCATGTTAATGTTGACCTTTTCATCCTTCAGAGGAAGCTCTGGCACTTTGGAAATCAGCAAATACGAAATTGGTTAGGTACAGGTCCATGACTTAGGTGCATAATGAAAGAACAATGACATGCTAATGTCTTTGTAGAAATACTTTTTCAGAAAGATTTTTTAACTTTTCTTTCACTTGAGAGGCTCTTTTTGAAAATGTGTAGATGACAAAATGCTGGCAGGAGCAGTTTACACGTTTAGATCACAGCTTTGTGTTTCAAAAATATCTTTATAGACTGGAAAAATGGATGAAATGAAGACCGATGTGGTTTAGTTAGAGCAGGATAAAAGTCAAATCTTGTATTGAGGTTTCAAACGTTGATTGCAGAAGTGCAGAATGGAAGAGTCTGCAGTTCATGTGAAGCACATGAGCCGTAATAGGAGTGGCTGTGCTATAATGTGACCACAGTACCTGGGTAAAGAATAGGGAAAATCTCATTGAACTTTGGCTGGCTCAGTTCGTCAGGTCACAACTCAAGTGGTGAATGTAGTGGCTGCCATGTTTTTCGAGTGATTAAATTGGAAAGGGCCAGAGGAGAGAGCTGCATGTGGTGAAGAGAGAAGGTGAGGGTCAAAAATCATAAACAAGAACATACGTCCCATGAAGAACAAGGGAAGATGCTTGGCCTCGTTTTCCTAGAAAGTAGAGCCTAGGATGGGGCAAAGCTTCCTAAGAGCTGCTAGGTTACCGGAAGGCTTCTGAGTGAAAGAAAAGAAAAATCTGACTTAATGTCGTCGTCCCCGCCTCCCCCACTTTCCCCGCTGTACCTGGATGTGGTAAATTCAACACAGGATGATTGTTGGATGATTGTTTCATCATGAAGAAGGATTCTTGAGTTGGCTGGAGGATTCCATTGGTTAACCCCAAGGCTCTTTCCAGCTTCACATTTCCATGGTACTAAGAACTAGGTGTCATTCCTAAATAAATAAAATCTGCTTACGTTGTATGTAATATAATTTCCCAAATGTTAGGACAATGCTATAAACTAATTTACTCGAGCTTGTCCTAGAAAAGGGATCAAAAGTCATGGCATGGCATTTGACTTTTGTGTACCCGACCGTTGTGCCTAGAAAAATATAAAAATATATAATCTAGACCTTATATATCAATTCCTAGAACATGCGTATTTGTTGCATGACTTGATCATGTGATCTAGTGTGAGCTAAGATGAAATTTAACCTTGAAATGAAAATTCAATCGTGTTTCACTGGGGTTGATAAATATGAATGTGTATTATTCAGTTCAAAAGGAAATAAAGAGTTCTAAATTGACTCTCCCCATCACGTGTGTTTGTCTATTGAATGTTTACAGACACATGGTAAATACATGTTTTCACATACTATAAAGTATGTGTTATCAATTACTGACAAAAAAATGCCTTCATAAAAAATTCTTTGAGGAAGTACTTTATAAAATTCTATTGTATGTGAAAATGCCTATGTTTTAGAACAAAACAGATCTAAGTTTAAGTCCTGGATCTATCATTTGTTAGATGAATAGTTTACAGTAAATTGCTGTAGCTTTCTCACAAGATTGTGAAGATCAAAATGAAAAATAGTGATTAAGTAATGTTGGCTGGCATGTAAGAGATGCTGAATAAATATTAATTCTTTTCTCCAGTCACTGATGAATTCCCAAATCTCTTTTGTTTAAGGATTGCAGACTCTTCCAAGATTTACAATGATATGGTGAATTCGAAGGCTGGGGCCAAGATAATTTTCTCAGCTCTTTAGTTTGAACAACAGTGAGTTGTCTACCAACACCCGGCATGGCTAAAAGTGCAGAGGTCAAACTGGCAATATTTGGGAGAGCAGGTGTGGGCAAGTCAGGTAAGTGTTTTGTTGTAGTTGTGTGTGTATGTGTGCGCGTGCACGCGTGTGTATCTTTGTTGTTGCCTCCTGGGATTGGGCGGGTGGGTAATTGGCATTTCTCATATTCTCATGTGTTGCTCTTTTAGGTGGTCTCTTTCTCTTTATCTAGAACTTTCGTTTTGCATAACTAAGTTTTATAGACTCTTTTGCTTATTTATGATAAAGGAGCTCTGCTGATAATACACAAGGCAATAGATAGATCATAGGTCTTGGTATTCTGAGAAAGGATATTAAACAAACCTCCAAAGAAATCGGAATGTAGAAATTAAAAAATATATTTGCTCTTTTTTTCTATATGAGATCCTGAGGGGTCAATTTTATGTCTCATTCATCTTGATATTCTCAATAATCTGCCCAATGTCAAGCATGTGTTGGGTGCTTATTGAATGAACATGTCTTTATAAGAAACAGAATTGCATTATTGCCCAACACTTCTAAAATTGAGGAGTGAAAACTTAGTGTGCAAGACCTCAAGCAAGACAGCTGTTGCCAATACCTCTGGGGTGAATTTAAATGGTTAAATTGTGGCTCACATAAGTAATTCAGAGGCTGTTTTTCCCCCGCACCTGAGAAAATCTTTGCAGACCTTTAAGATTAAGGGTGAGATGTTGGAAGTGAAAATGTATCTAATCCAATTTGAAAATATATCTTAGGTTTTATAATTAAAGAATGCTAAAGTAGATGTTGGTAAAATGTCAGAGCCACATGGTTTCAGATAATGTTGCTTTGATCTCTTGGTGGAGGAAAGACCTATAATTGACTTTGTACACTGAGCTTTGGGTTCTCAGGAAAGGACTCAAATAGATATCTAGGAGGTGTATGTTTGTAGAGTGAAACCCATGGAGATCATCCAATACAACGAGTAATCCACATAATCTTAAACAAGCACGCATGAGCAGCTTTTAATTCTGTGACCAACCTCTCTCTCCTAATCTGCTCTGTGGTTTAATTTCAGGAGTAAGTCTTCCCTATTCTAAGTCTTTTTTTTTTTCTTTTAATTTTCTCAAGAGTCCTCTTTTTCACTGTCACCTTTTCCTTCTCTTTGCTGTTTGTTCTTGCCTCTGGCAGAAACCAAGCCTAGAAAACAGATAGTTGGCAAGGCTAAGAAACTGCCCGCCTTCACAAGATTGAAGATTTAAACTCCTCCCCATTAATGTCCTCAGTGTTTCCTGATGGCGTGAGAACCTAATTTCTGTAGCTGGTGGAAAGATCTGGAGAATGAGGAAACTGTTCCAGTGAGTGGAGGATGAAGGCAAGGGAGTGTGTGGGAAAGCCGGTGCTGGCAACAATAGCCTGTCTAAGTCCCTCGTGAATGAAGGGTCTAGGCCTGGGGCTGGCTGTTTAGTATTCATTCATTCAAAACTTACCACAGGCAATAAAGGAAGGGGATTTTTTTAACCTTATATCATTTACTAAAATAAACTCCACATGGTTTGAAAAGTTAAACATAAAATTAAAAATTCAGTTGGGAGAACCACTTAGCTGTATGTATATCCATACCTTTCTCCCCTGTGCTATCTCAGAGCAGGCTGTGTGCCTCCTCCTCTCAAGGCTGATCCATCAGCTTGAGCTTAGACCCCAGTTCCCTTTGTCTCCCCCCAAATTGTTTCAATTATTCCTCTCATTCTCTACTGACAGTTTTCCCTTAAGCCTTTCTTTGTCCACTGCTCTTTTTCTTTTTTCCAAGTTTAGTGAATATGAGCTCTGCTGTACTATCTTAATTTTTTTTTTTTTAACTCCCATTCATTGCTTCAAACATGGCAATTTTCCATTGTAATCATGCTCCTGACACTACTTTTGCTATCAATAACCAACAAACTGAATGAACATTTCCCAGTTCAGGCCTTCTTAGAACTCTTTTTATCATTCAACACGACCACTTATTCTTTCCTGAAGCTCCTTCCTTCCCAGGCTCCTGTGATATCACACTTCTTGGCTTGCCTGCTATCTCTCCATTGCTCCCAACCAGCTACCTTCATGGGCTACTCTAGATCAGCCAACTTCTCAAAACCTGGGGCTCCCAGGGTTCTACATACCATCCTCTGTCTTCTCACTCCGTACACTCTCCCTGGGGGTGATTCTTCACATCCAGAGCTGAAGATAACACCTGCACATGGAGTCCAAATTCTGCTGACCTTGGTTTTGTTTCGTGTAAAATGCAGACATTGAACCTGTTTACTAAGGTGCTTTCCAACTCTAAAATCTTATGATTTTTGATTAATGAATCCTCTTTGAACTGGTTTCTCTATCTACCTTACGTACATTCTACCATTTGTGTTTGTTTTCATTTAGGTGAAAATGACAATGATAAACTACATGCCTTTAAACAATTGCCTTTTTGTCTGTCATCCATACACAGACAATGTTTTCCTATTTCAACATTAGACTGTTTTCCTAAGACCTTGTAACCACACCTCACATTTAAAAAGTAGTACTAGTTTGCCTTTTGCGTGGGAGACAATTCAGAGACCTTTTCCCACTTTCAGGGGGAAATGTTTTCCATGAAAATAACCACAGAGTACTTCACATCCCCCAACTTTGAAGCCAGACTGTAGCAATATCAAATTCATGTTTATTCTAATTCTTTGTTAACATGGATATATGATGTCTCTGCCTAGTCATTGTGCTGTATGTTCACCTTCCTATTCTACAGATTGTATCAGTCTTATAAGTAACTTTTGTTTTTGAAAATCTACAAGAAATTATACCTACTGGAATGCAACTGCAGCTCTTTGCTTATTCATATGCCTCCCGAAAATGGTCATGATCTTGCCATGGGCTCAAACACCCAGCAGGGCAAGCGTTCCTAGAGGAGCCAGTCTGAGATCTAGGAGTGGTGGAAACAGAGCATCGCTGATTTGCCTGTGAAGCAATTGAACAGAAGCAATTCAAATCTTACTTGTCCCACTGACTTTTCCCAACAGTAAATACCAAATTGGGATTTGGGGTGAAAAAGACCATATTGTCTGTTTGCTAATAGAGAGCAGTAAAGCCTGGGGGTAAGGGCACGAGCTCTGGATTTGCACAGTTAGGTTTGACTCCCAATTCTACACTTTGTTAGCTGTCTGAACTTGGCAACTTATAAGTTACTTATCTTCTCAACTTCCTCAATTATAAAAAAGGCTATAATAGTGCCTATCTCAAAGAGTTGTGGTTGAGATTGAATGATTTATTAATGTAAGTTTTTAGAGCAGCACCTGACACATAGTAGGTGTGCAAGTATTAACTTATGTTATTATAACTTTTCAAGGTATGCTCATTTCGATTTGAGTGCTCTAGTGAAAACATACATTCAAAGATATATTTACATTCAATTGAGTATTTTGGTTTTCGGAATGCTTGTAAGACAAAAATTCTGTGTCGCTACTCTGCACACCCTGAACACACAAACACACACTTTCTATCTCTCTCTCTTTCTCTTAAATCCAAAGTCTGGTTAATATCAATTACAGCTTGACAAGTAATGATCATAACAATACTTCTCATGGCTTATATCTTGGAAATCTTGGAAAAACGGCCAGAAATATGTTAGTGTCATCAATAAATTAACACCCTTAAATTTGAAAGTGCTTCTGGTATGTGGTAGATGGCTCCCTAAGCCCAGGTAAAAGATAGGCTCTCTATGTTAAAAACAGAATTTAACATTAACCAGAACTTTCTGGTTGACAGGTTGACCATAGAAGTGTCAGCACAGGCAAAGTTTAATAACGTGCTAGTTACTGAAGAGCACTGATAAAACATGTGAGGTGTTTGTGTGTATATATATATATAGCAGTATTTACATGGTCTTTGAAATTCAGAGGATTCTTCTTCCTTCTGTCTAATTTTACCTTGCGGTTCTGTCTTCAAGCAAGCTTGCTTGCTGGCTTAGGAAGCTTGCTGGCTCAGCATGGTTAGCACTGTGGTGATGCTGTGAGGTGTAGAGCCAGGATTTCCCAGCTCATTCCATCATCTCCTGCCCCAGCAGGGTAAACATTTACCGTCACTGGCTGATGTAGAGCATTAATAACATGGCATGTAGGTCATAAATTTCCTTACTTGTGTGCATCAGCCTGTAATTTGACAGGCTCCAAGTAATTAAAGCAATAAGACCTGCCATAAAACCCAGAATGCACACCATATTTATTTAAATATTTCCTGAATTCATATTACTCAAACTTGTAGTAAGCGTGGGAGGGGCTGAGAGAACAACAACTGAAATTTTAGATTTAGTTTCACAGTTGACATTCTCATTTTAGAATGGAAATATTGTGTGCCATAGTGAAATGTGTTTCTTGAAACTTAATTGAATAATGCTATCCTCTGATTCAAAAGCCAATTGATGCATTCATCCGTGACGGCTTAAGTTCATAGACTCAGATTGTTGGGCCATAAATTGGGTGCCAAATACAAACAAGCTTTGATATTTTTCACCTTGGTGCAAAGAGCAGTGATGTATTTCTTCTCCTTTTTCTTGTTCTTCTTTGCTTCCTTGCCCCCCCCAATATAAAAAGTTTTGAAAAGCTTTTTTCATTTTATTTTCAAGTGGGACAGGGACAATTCTGATTTTAAATGTGACTTTTCCAATGAGCTCAAATACTGCTTTAACATAGACATGTACTTTATCACTGGAATATGTTTGTGAGACCTCATATACATTAAATAAAAACAACATTTATCAATAGCATCTTGGGTAGGTCAGTTTCCTTATGCTGTGGAACTAACCTTTATGTTTTAGAGTTTTTTCTCTACTTTAGTAACTGTGCATCAGTTTGTTGCCTTCACTTATGCTTAATGACGTAGTATGATGCTGCTTGAACATTCTTTTCAAAGTACTTCTAAAAGAAGAGGAGAAAGATTAGGGGATTTGCGGCTTGAAAGCATCTCATTGTAATCACGTAATTATTTTTGCATGCTTTATTAATAATGTAAAGTATATGCAAATTTTAATATAAATCTATGATATATCTATGTTTGTT